GCTAATGCAGTACGGCAACCTGAAATGATGTACGTACATACGAAGTTCTGTGTTGTAACTGAGTGACTGACTGAATCACCTCAAGAATGCCGATAATGGTCCTTCTTGGGTGCCGTATACCGTTTTAGATGCACAGGACTAGCTGAAACACTGACCAACCATCTATCCAGAAACAAATGTGTCAGTTACTATTTAATCACAGCAAATGTTTGATCATGCATTTCGAATGACATCACAATGAAAAACTAATTTACTTCCAAAAACGTAGAATCCGGACACCGCTATAAGCGTACTTGGGAGACCTAAACTTTGAACAACATGCTTCCTCCATTATTTTCAAATCTAGGTGGCTTATTGGGTTCATAAATAACAACTCCTTAACATAGGGGGTTAACCTTACCCTCTTCAAAGTGTGTATGAGACGCTGTCCTGAATGCTGTTCATGTTTCTTTTCAGACATGAACTCTGTTAACTCAATAAATGTTGAGGTTGTTTAAAGAAACGTTTTTCGTCGACTACTAGCACGTCTTTAAACAGTATACCTTCAAAATTGGTTTTTCTGTTCGAAAGTAACTGAACTGGGGCACCCCAATGAGAGACGCAAATTCTAGATACAGCTTTAGCTGCAATCTGGCTATCTGTGTTCTCCAAAGGAATCGCATCTTACCAATTCGTATAGTGTTCAAACATGCTTACGATATCTGTCAGCTTCCCTTAATGGTACAATATTGACGCGACTCTATCTCGTTTCGGCAACTTGGTTTTATATATAGTGAAGCTGCACGTGAATTGTCTTTCCGGCTCTTAACCATTTGAAAAGTCTCTCGAGCCCGTAGCTGGCTGACTAACTGATATAGAGGAGAGATTTATGAACATTAAACTTCTAATGTAGCCAATAGGAGGGGGAGAAGTTTCTCAATAGATTGTTCGCGAACATAACCTCAAAGCATATTTATCTACAACTGCCCTTTAAAGTGAACCTGGCTGACATAGATTTTAAAGAAAGTCACATTCTACCCAATGATATAAATGTGTCATAATCAGCATAAAGATTTGAAAACTATGAGTTTGGTTAGGTGTATAATCTATCAGTAATCACTGTTTTGAAGAATCTCATTCTAAAGTAAAACAGTTGTCCAATGCCGTCTGGCTTTAACATTGTTCTTAAAACGGAAACCAACTGCAAATGAAAATGATGAATACAACTAACGAACTAAACCGCTCTCCACTGGAGGCTATCAGTCAAACTATGATATATGACTTACTTGTAACGTACTTCCCAAATTTCTGATGAAAAGTCGTGACTAGAAGAGATTAGGTATGTCAAGAGTGAAACACTTGTCATCATTGACATTATTTAACAATTAAGCTATAACACAAATCAATTGAAGTAAGAGTTTCATTGCAAGACGACAACCAACTAGCCTTAATAGTTTAGCGCTCACCTAGTAAAACTACTTCGGTAGAATGGTACGTGCGTAGTTCTGAGGACTCATACGCTACTACTAACTAACTGCCCAATATTCAATGGTTCTCCGTTCTATCAAAATACAGCCTATAAATTAATCAGTTTGTTGTTAAAATACTTAAAAGTACCGCAATAACTTTTTTAAAACTAGAACGCTTTAAACAAATTCGATTTTTGTCAATATTCTGGATTTCACCATTGATTATAATTCAGATTTCTCTCTTATTTAAGATAAACTAGATGATTTTATATTAACCTGTACATCCTTTTTACAAGAATGAAACAACGTTTCATCTATTATTATTATTATTATTATTATTATTATTATTATTATTATTATTATTATTATTATTAATTTAATCGAGAGTTCAAAGAATCAAACACTAAAGAACTGTTACACATTTTTCTTAATTATATGAAATTGGATTGTTCTTTTTAAGTATAATAAGAATTTTTATTGCATAGTTATTTGTTTTGGTTACAATTACATTCATCACTAATTAATCTTCAAGTGATGAGTTGATGACATAAAAAACTATTTTATTGAAATCATGAATCAGTCCATGTCTGACCATCATTCGAAACCTGAAAGCATGGAATAGCCGTTTCATTCTGAATGTAAATATCTCCCTCTTTTTATAAATTTGATAAAAATTGAACTTTGAACTAAGTTTGATAACCTGAATTTGAAACTAATTCTTAATACAAAATGAAATCAAATGAATAACTTAAGGTTGATCTAATTGACTAAAAGTTACCTTTTAGTAAAATATCCCAATAACTAACCGTCTAACAGGTACCTATGAAAACCAACAGAATGATACATTTCACATAAACTGGAAAAGATAACCAGATGAAAATCACAGATATGCAATATAAACGTCAAAGTCAATAATAATCAAGTCTAGAGCAATTAGATATTTTGATATTTCTGTTAAGCGTTGATTCACAATATAAGGCGTATGACACTACCCATTCAACCAAGCTACAATTAATGCTTAGGTGATTGTGGCGTTGTTTATCATTATTATTCAGATAAACGAATATGCTTAATCTAATTCTCAGTGAGCTATTTCTTTAGATATATAGATGAGTTCGGTTAGTACCTATTCATCCATATATAATTTGATCAGCTTAGTTGAAAAGGAAATAACTCAGTTGTATGTTCGTTTATTTTTTTACATTGAAAGACAATCCTAGTTCAATTTAAGTAAAAGGACAGTAAACCGAATACTGGTAACCTTATTGTGAAACTGTTCTCGTCAATTAACAGAATATATATTAGTGTGAAGAGTGTTCTGAAACACTTACTTACTGTTTGGCCAGTTTTTTCTGATATGATTTTCATGGAAGCGAATGTTCACTTTTAACACGGAGGGAAGCATCTTCTTCTCTATCGTTTCGTCGTTATTTGAATGTGCTAGTGTTTATCCCTAACTTGAATGGCATTGTTATTCGACCTCATTATACTTCTTCTACCTCATTTATTACACATTCTCAGTTTAATTGGTAATTTGTATTAGTCAGGGCTATCAACAAAAGATAAAAACATTGTAAGAACGCGCTTAACTTCCTATTCGGGATTAGTCAACTGGATATACCTGAATCCCAAACAGAATGAAGCGGGAGTCCTGAACTCTACCATTACCTATCACTCATATCTAATAGTAGTGGTTGTGATATAATCGCAACCCACCCAGGATGCATTTTCAGTTCAAACTATCAATAACAAGATTCAAACAACAGATAAAAATAAATGAATGAATCTGAAATGTTACACTTTTTTCCTGGATAAAATATATCAGTTAAATGTTTGGAAGCACTTTCATGCGACCCATAAGTCTGCTTAACACCAATCAGAATTGAATCATTTAGCCAACTGGATACACTGCCGTTTGATCATTCGGATTTTATCAATCATAAAATCTAAAGGGATCGATTTCTGAGAGAGTTGTAGGTGTGTACTGTTGATGAATCCCATGCCGTGATAAAACAGCCATCTAGTGCTTCCAAGTTTCTAAGGATGGTCTAACATTGATCGATTCATGATTTCCAAAATAAAGTTAGTTGTTGACATATAGAATAAGGATATGTGGTAAATAAAATTGGAATTGCCCCAGCTAAATGAACGAGTATGTGAAAAACATTAAAACGAAAACACAGTTGATTCATTTTTCAATCCGCGTGATGAAGATCAGTGTTTTTACACATAAAAATAATGAATCAATCATTGTTAGACCAGCGTTAGAAACTTGAAAGCACTGGATAGCCGTCTCCTTCATGTGTAGGGTTCGTCCGCAGTTCACATTCATGACTCCTGCTATCCGCAATAGTCGAACCCAGTACCTGCGGTTTTATGCACGAATGCCTAACCTCTGGATCACTGAGTCGGCATCAAACGGTGTTAATGTCTAATTCTGGGGATTTTGCGCTTCCTCACCCATTTGTCTTCGATAGTTACTGCCTACACCCGATAGGATTGTACTCCACTGGTCACTGGTCATTTTATTTCTGTGTTAATGATTTATCGAGAAGAAAAGAAATAGTCAATACTTATCATTCAATATACGACGTATGGATGTAAACACTACAAATCACTGAAATATTATATCTCCTTTTTTTCGAATTTACTTTTCGTTTTCTAGAAAATTATAGAACCAGATTCTAACTAAATTGTAGATTTTTCAGTGAGAATCAAGCAATAATCATTCATTGTTTATATATATATATATATATATATATATATATATAAATATATCTGCAATGTGAAGAGAAAAATTTTTCAACATTCCTGATTCTTCTACAAGTACATTATCACGTCCATTTGTGTTGTATGTGCAACTAACTATGTATGGTTGTGTCTCATGAGGGATGTGTGTGCTTGTGTGTGTTCTACCAATTATATATTATATCATACACAGACATGTGAACTTGTAATTAGTGGATTGCACAAACACACACATACATGTACGCATACATGCACATACATACCGAAAATATACGAAAACATAAACACAAAAGGAATGTTACTAATTATTGGACCTTTGAATATGCAGATTGTATGTATACACCACTGTTAATTTCTATGTTTCCATATTCTTCTTGATACAGGTTTATTTTTCTTTGTTTTGTGTTTTTTGGTTTTTTGCATATTTTCTTCTTCTTCTTCTTCTTCTCTGTGTTCTCTTTTCTTCTTACATGATGCGTTTAGTAAATCAAAGGTTTCGGTATTCGACATTTTACTAGTGTGTGCAACCTACTGTGGGTGTGTGTGTACAATTTTAGGATTGATAATCACTATGAAAAATATCTCTTATATATTCATTCAAGTGTTGTTACATTTGATCAACGTGCATGCATGCATGCATGCAAACATGCTGGTGTACACAAATCTATTCCATTCTCTTTATTGGTTATAAGGTCACACAAAAAGCACGTGAATGGGATAAATTTTCACCTCCAATTGATCGATAATTTGTATAAGCGACTAGTAAAAATTCAGACAATAATTATGTGCACATCTCTCTGTATACATATAAATATGCGTATACCCTAAACACACTAAATAGGAAAGAAATTAAATACTTGAGTATATTAAGTGAAAACGTACTATTGTCTTAAGGAAATCAATTCATTTTTGATGATTACAATCGCATCAAAGAATAATTATTTGTTAAACATGAATGGAAATAACTACAACTGAAATCATTGGGCTAATTTGACATATTGAACGTATTGAACATTTATGAGGGATTTTTAAATAAACATTAGACAAAATGCAGCGATTATATGCTAAATCAGTTGCAAATGTCAATACAATCAATATATCTATCATTGGTATGAATGGTTCCGGAAAGTCAGGTATGAGAATAATAAATGTTTTTTTTTAAGAAAAAAATCAAAATATTAAATCTACAATCATTTTATAAAGTTAATTTTTTTTCAAAATGTATCATTTATTCGTTATAATGTAGCTGTTAGAAATGGCACCAGTGAAATATTTATTGTTATGTACTACTCTCATACATAATTTTGAAGATTTATTTTCCTGTATTTACTCATAAAGTTAAGATAAAGTCCATGTACTACTGAAATTAATTGATTTTTTAAAATATTCAAAGTTGTGTTTTTGTAAAATACAAATAATACAAGTTATGTGTTATGAAAAATTTTGGTGAATGAAGTAAAGAATAGCCCCGAATCGGATTTCTGTTTCTTCTCAGAAATAAAACAACCTTGAACATATTAAATGTTAATAGAATATTCCATAATGAGTCATGAAATGTGTGTGTGTGTGTTTGTGTCTGCAGATCTGACGTGAGAAAAGTTCATTGAACATATGCTATGAACCTGAGCTATGGTTGGGGATAATCACAAATTAAATTTATGATATACTACATGAAATTAAAATCAATAATCAAATGTATTTTTGTATTGGTTAACTTAAACAAATTGATTGTAATGATATCTGATCGACGCCATATTTAAACAAGGAAAAATCATTCAAACAAACAAAAGTACGCCACCATTGTCCACAATATATATGGTGTAAAAAAGTAGTAATAAGATCGATGTTTTTCATTGTACAATTAATAGTGTTGTTAATTATCTAATTAAATTAGTTGAGTTTGTTCAGATTTGTAAGATTTCACTCTTTAATGCTGTTAAATAAGAATGAAAGCCTTTTTGAAGAATTTTTCTCTCTGAAAACTTATGATGTGTTCTGTTGCTATTGAATGTCTTGTTATCACGTATCTCTGCTGTTGTTCTGCACTTAGAGACGTATCTTCGAATTCTGTTAACTTAGAATTCTGAGCATTATTTATTGAGAATATGAGGAAGGGCGACAAACGTAAAATCATGATATGAAGGCTAATGAAATAATCAAAAATTCAACTGTTCATTATCATTGTAGAATAGTCTTACAGTGTATATGTTTCATTTGGTAATTCATATCGACGAAATTTTAATTTTTTTTTCAAAATATTAATCAACACTGTTTAAATAGTTTGTTATTTTAGTGGATAAATGAACAGAAGACTGTAGAATTTAATAATGTGATCGTATTTAGTTTGATTGTTGATTTTGATAGGATTGAAAAAATAATGACTAGTATGTTTTTTGTGGTTAGTGATTTATTTTTTAGCTAGTTGGTTTTCTATAGGGTGAAGTCACTAACCCCATACACGACCCTCTTCGTTTCACCGGGCTTTAGACCGACAGTAACCTCAGAAGTGCTCCAGAAGGAGTTAGTATTCTTGTTATCAATACAATAATTCTTATGAGTTCTACTTTTACTTCTGTTTAAAATCGATACATAGAAAGTAAAACCAGGCAATCTAATTATTACCTTATCAGAAAACAGTCACCAATGTAAAAGACATTCAGTGTTTTATCATCTAATAGGATAGAGGTCAAGAGATCGGCAATGGCTTAGTACTTACTGGTCATTGTATACAGAATGTTTAGTTCAATTTAAAATTAGACAGAGTATCACATAAATTCTGTTTAATGATTAATGAATCTTTATAAATTTGGTTAGCGGCGAAACGTATCTCTTTACTAAATATAGCAGTAATAAAAGTTCTCAATTGTACATAAAATATGCGAATGGTGATAGTGTTGTCTAGAACAACAATGAAGGTTCCTCAGTTACACCATCTAACTAAGGAAAAATATAAAACCATTAAGTATATCAATCTGTGTTGCAAATCTTCACTGTTTCAGACATATTAATGAACAGAGTTATTTAAATGACTTTCTTCTGTGATATAAATCTTATCTGCCAATGAGTTATTAGTAAATATTCTTATCTAAATTATATTGGATGGAGGATGTAAATATTACTTTTATTTCTCGGTGTAATGTGTTCCTTGGCCTTCCTCTTCTCCTTTTGCCTTGAGGGTTTCATGTGAGGGCTTGTCTTGTGACGCAGTTAGGTGCTTTCCGCAATGTGTGTCCTATCCACTTCCATCACTTCTTCCTCATTTCCTCCTCCACTGGAATCTGGTTTATTCTCTCCCACAGTTCGTTGTTGTTGATCTTGTCTGGCCAACGAACCCGAAGTATTTTGTGTAGACAACTGTTAATAAACACTTGTATCTTGTGGATGATGGCTTTGGTAGTTCTCCAAGTTTCCACTCCATACATTAGAACTGTCTTGACATTTGTATTGAAAATCCTGATTTTGGTTTTGAATGATATTTGTTTGGAGTTTCAGATATTTTTCATCTGTAGAAATGCAGCCCTTGCTTTGCCGGTTCGCGCCCTCACTTTATTCTTGTAGTTCACATCATTTATCAATGATTTATTCATAATCTTCATCAGTAGGATAAAACTCTTCTTTAACTGAATATGAAAGTAGAAATCATAAGAAATTTTAAATGACTATGAAAACAATGGCATGTTATTGTATGATTATGGGTGATTGAATTTTGACAATACTAGTTTATCAGAGAGAAAAATCTTGGTAGCAAAAATTGCCTGTAAATATCAAAAGTACAACCTATTCTATGGAATAAACAGAATAAATCATCATTGTTAGGAGAGCCACTACTTTATGGTCTGTTGTTTTGACAGGGAAACTGATCAAAATATTTAAACTATGGGTTTTAAGTTGTAGAGTCATATAAGTTTGGGTAGAATACTTCTTTTTCAATGTACAGGTTATTGTGTTACTTACTTATTTACGCCTGTTGGTCCTAATGAAGCATAGACATAGGCATTGATGTCGGAGCACTATTAGAAACCTATAAGAGCACTGAATTTTGGTTTCGTCCTGGTGCGTGACTAATCATCAGTGCGTATCCAAGACTCCTGTTACTTACAAGAATCGAACCAAGGACCTTTAGCTTCGCGCGCGAACACCTAACCTCTGAACTGCTGAGCCAGCATCTGACGGTGTTCATGTCTAATCAGGTCGAAACGACAGTCGATTGCTTCCAAGTTTCTAATGGGGATATAACACATGATCGATTGATGATTTCAAAAGGTAACTCAACAATCTTCACAATTCTCTGGAGATAATTTCCTCATTAAATTAGGTGAACTAATCATTGATTTCGTCCATTTCGTCTAAGAAGTACGCAAAAAAATGGTGGTTTTTAGGGCATTTCTTGGCTTGCTAATAATCTACCTGCGAATAATAAGTATAATGCACTGAACTGAATACAACGTGGTGTTTGATGAGATAAGTAACCCTGAACTGAAAAAAGATCATATTTATGGATTCTTAGAGTCTTAAAACATAATTATATCGACGTTTAATGAAAATATTCAAAAATTCCTGATAAAATGAATCAATATGTCAACAGTTTATCATAATATAACAAGCAAAATTGAGCATTTTCGGTTAAACTATAACTTGGTCGATTGAATCGCATTGATATCAAATGGCTAAACAATTATAAAGTCGGATATTGCTCCACAACCATTCAGAATGGATACCTCAATCTCAGTACCTAAATACCTGAAAATGTTATGCTGGGTAAAACAAGTTTGAACCATTTAGGGGTCATTAGTTCTTACCTAGATCTGACGTTTCTTAATTGCGGTCTTCAATCACCCAACACATAAACAAAATGAATACTTCATCTGTAATTATTTCGAAATCAAACGATTTTAACATTTCACAAATACAAAAGTATCTAGTAATTCCACACTCTCGATTTACCTACAGATTGAGAAAATAGCTTTAAATCATTAGTGGTTTCCAAAAATTATTTTTACTGATTTATAACTGACTACTGATTTACTGAAATAAATTATTAGAAAATTTTGTTTATGACAGAATCAAAGTAAATACACATACACCAGATGTTTTTCATATTGTGTTGTTTTGTAGAAAATTTAGAAAAAAAATTAAAGGAAATTAAATTATTTGATTAATTTTAACATTTGGATTTAATTATTTATTGTTTTTCCCTAGCGAAATTCTATGCATAAAGCTTTTATAATTGAATTTAATTTTCACAACAGCTTGATTGATACCTAAGGTTGATGTGTCCTTATGTTAGGCGTCGGCCTGATTATGATTGACTAGTTAAGTAGGTTAGATAGTAGTTCATTGTGAATTTGGAAAAAAAGTGGATAACTGTTCATTTTGAATTGAATCTTGTTGGATATGAGACAACTACTACCTCGCGAAGACCATCAGTAAGGTTGCGTAATACCGTAGATTGATTAAAGTTAGACAGTAACATCGTTGGATACCGGCTCATTGGTCTACAGATTAGGTGTTCGAACCCGAAACTGGAGGTTGATATGCTTGAAACTATTACGAATTCACCTTAGTCGGTAAACGAGAGCGAAGACAAATGATCCAGTGACATGATAGGCTATTTTAGTCCATTATCTTAGGCCCTGCTAACTATATCAAGAAATTTGATAAGGCGTAGAAAGTTTATTCTACAGGCGCCCAGAAAAAATGAGGTTGACAAGCACACAAATCGAGTTTATTTATACATGATAGAAACGTCTTTGGGTGAGCCACGAAAATAACTTACTAAAATAAACCATCAACGAATGACAGTCATTGATTTTCCTGGTGGGAAATGTAATCTCAGGGTCAACTGAGCAGCCCATGTACTAAAACTCAAGAATCAAAAATTTGGACCTTTTTCAAGAGAGTTCTGGGGATATAACGTCCCTCGACAAAGGGCCTGGGTTCGAGTCCGGCAAGCGCACTTCAGATGAGTCTCATACCAGGATGAAACGTCTGTCCATTGTTTCCAGGTTTCTAATGTTGGTCTAACAATGAGCCATTCATAATTTTAGCGAAACTCAATAATCTTCATAACTCTATAATGATAAATTAATCAGATATTTGAAAAGTAAAGATTATTTTTCTCATAATAAGTTATTCAGTTAATCCTAAGTAGATTTCAAGTTAATCGAAAAGTGTCTGAAATTATACTACACAAACATGGATTCAAGTACAGGCATTTCGAATATAATGTAAAGTCTAATTAGATTAGTTTCACAAATGAAAACTTTATGCTTTAAAGAAAAAAAAGCATCAGACGGTGAATTTTTTGATTGGAATGAAAGTGATCTGTTAATAGAACGTCGATCTCATCATGTTACTTTTACTGTGAGGAAATTTCGTCATCATCAATAACGTGACAGAAGTAATGCTTAAATCGTTAGCTGATGAATATCAGGTCAATTTGTGTGTGTGAGTGTGTATGTATGTGTACAAGTGTGTATTAACGTATCGTTTTCATTTTACAGTGTAAATTTTAATTCGATAAGCTGATCATACTTGCATTATGTTATAATAAGAAACAACAGTTGATGTTCACTTGAAAAGGCTTTAATTTTTAAAGTGATTAATGATGAAAATCATTTTAAATTTATTGATTTTGTGGTTTCATTGATGGATTACAGAAATGTTACCCAGCTAGCCTCAAACTAATGTAACGAGAAAACTCACGTACTAAGATGGACTGGCCTTCATAGATTGAGAAGTTGTCATCAGTAGCACAGTTAGCCAATATGGGGGTTAATTACTGACCTTGGTTACTTAATATTATAAGGATTATCTCTTTGAATTCGAGTGTATGTTGTATATGGTTTGTATACAGCATCCAGCCACGGATCAAATCTTTCAAATTCATTTTTCATCTCACTAATTTAGGGTTACTGAGTCAGAATTTAATGAAATTTTGATCTTAAAACAAAAACACTACTTAGTCATTTCTGGTTTTCAATACATCATAAGTTGAACAATACCCGTAAATTTCATATTTTAAAAGCATTAGAATTAGTGGTTTCTTGACTTATTACTTACCTATTTACCTACGCCTGTTACCCTCAATGGAACATTGGCCACCGAGCAGCATTCTCCAACCAACTCTGTCCTCGGCCTTCCTTTCTAGTTCTGTCCAATCCTTTTTTATTCTTCTCATGTCTGCCTCCATTTCTAGGCGTAATGTGTTCCTTGTTCTTCCTCTTTTCCTTTGACCTTGATGATCGCAAGTGAGGGGTTGTCTTATGAAACAGTTAGGTGCTTTTCGTAATGTGTGTCCTATCCAATTCCATAGCTTCTTCCTGATTTCCTCCTCCACTGGAATCTGGTTTGTTTTCTCCCACAGTAGGTTGTCGCTGATAGTGTCTGGCCAACAAATCCGAAGTATTTTGCCCAGACAACTGTTAACTTCATCAAAATGTAACTGAAAGTGAATGAACTCAGAGAAACTACCACTATCGAAACTCCTAATTTAATTAAAAGTCAGGTTTCAATATAATAATCACCGTTCATCAGTCAGCTGTTTATAGACAATGTATGGACCGTTATATTTTACACAAGCTTAACAAATTCAAATAAACAAAAAAGGGAGGATCAGTTCATCTAATATTTACTCGCTTACTTACTTACTTGCTTGCTTATTTACTTACTTACTTACGCCAGTTACCCCTAATGATCCATAGGCAGCCAACTAGCATTTTTCTGGGTAGAGGTTTTTTAGCGTGTAGGTTTTCTATGAGATTGGATCACTAGCCCTATGCCCAACCCTGCTCTTTCATCCAGTTTTGGGACCATCAGTGAGCTATCACTTTTTAACCAAAACTGAAAGTATGCTATGAATACTGTGCATTTAAAAGTTCAGGAATACTGGTAAATTGTCATTAGACAATTTCTAGTTCACTTAAACACAATTCAATCGAGTTAAATTATCTATCTTCATTTGAAATGTATTTCAGTAGTAAAGAATATTTTAATATTCATATTATTAGTTGAAAAATTGAGCCTACTCAATGTTTTTAAGCTGATACTGTTGTGTGTACTATTTACAACGAAGCTTATAAGTAGTATGCTGTGATTAAGCAGCAGAGTGTCTGTCTAAATTATACGGACGAAGCAAAGAGTATTGAATTCAGACACATGGTGCGATCAGAGTGATTTAAAGAATAAAAGACATGTTAAACAAAACAGCCAAGAATGCACTTGTTTCGCAAATAGATATTTTATGATAAGGTGAACACAATTTGGTTTGTGAACTGTGTCAAACCTCGAATATACTCCAGTCGTCTTAAAGCAGTCGGATTATGTCACGTGATAACTAATCGATGGTCGAGTCATTTTTCACGGATTGATTAAAAACACTGCTTATTTTAAAATTTCTAAAACATATTTGAAGCTTATCTTTAGTCTTCATGATTGCATTGAAGAGAAGAGCCATTAATCTGACAGCAAAGATAACTGATATGTTCAATCCAACTTAGATTTAATTTAACTCCGATGAAATCTTATTACACGTAGATTAAGAGTCAGGTAGTAAAATGAATACTTCAAGGACATTAATTTTTGAAGAAAGTTGTACAGGATTGGCGTCTGTTAGACCTTTATGACTTCTTGGTTGGGATCCCAGAGATGATAGAACTCACTGTCTTGAGTCATTATCAGACATGACTCAGAATAGAAGCTAGTGGCTTTCCTGATGTAGTTTTATTTCATTCTGTTCACAAAGGAAAAACGTTTTTAACTGAACTATTTTTCCTACTATTATTACTATTATTTCACTCTCATAACACTAATTTATATTTTTTGTAATACTCATCATTCTTTCTCTATCTTTTCACAACCTCATTTTATTGTGTAGCTCATATACATGTTGATGCCTACTTGCGTCAATATGTACGTGTTTTAAATAACTAAAAATCAATAAAATTATATCACAGTTAGTACTAATAAGTCACTAACATCGGTAAACATACTTCAATTCAGTTCTAATACATTCGAAACCTTACACTTCTAACTTTTAGTTCCAATTAACGGTTTTTCTCAATCTCATGCTTATGTTATTTCTAAATGTTGTCGGTTTGCTTTATCGATTAAATGTAAGTGCATTATCCTGTGTGCTAAATCAGTCGTCCGTTTCGTTCTTTCCAACTCCAGATAACCTGACATACTACTCCTCACACTTTCCCAGCATATGAGTTACCTTTCGGCTAAACACAAACTTACCAAAGACTGGAGTTACACTGTCATATTAATTTATTTCTGATTATTTTCTTTAGTTCCAACTAGTTAACTGAGATAGTAGCTTTAAACAATTTGGAATCCTTTTAATCAAAATGACTATGTTTAATTATTATTATTAAACAGAACATTTCATTGATAAAAATAATAGTTAGTTTATTTATCAGCTGAATAAAAACACGATCTTATTGGATTTGTTATTTTTTTCAGTGAGTTTATTTTACAGACTATCTACTTTTGATTTATTATGCTGACTAGCGGAAGATTAGACTGAGAAAAACAAATGCTAAAAATAGCTGGATCGAGACACAATGACAATCCATGACACCACTGTTTTTGCGTATATGTGTGAGGAAGTGTACATAACCCAAATGGTGGCAGTGGGATGATCGCGATCGGTGATTGAAAACCTTGGATGATATAACTCAAAGTAAATGGTTACTTACTAACTTACGCCCGTTACTTCTCATTCAGCACAGGCTACCGACCAGTATTCTCCACCTTACTTTGTCCTCGGCTTTCCTTTCTAGTTCTGTGCAATCTTTTTTTGTTCCTCTCATGTCTGCCCACATTTCTAGGCGTAATGTGTTTGTTGGTCTTCCTCTTTTCCTTTGGCTCTGAGGATTGCAAGTGAGGGCTTGTCCTGTGACGCCTGGATTCCCTCTGAGGCTGGTTTTCTACTCTACATTATATCTTGAGTTTCCACTGATTGGTGTTATTTGTTTACATTTTCATTTACAATGTAACCAATATTCTGAATAAATGTTGATATCCCAATGAAATTAAGTGATGTGATATGACTGAAGGTAAAGCTTCTGGTCAATCTATGACTTATTCAATGATGGTGCTTGAAGTAACTTGGTGTGTAGCTTTGCACTGGTTAAAAATTCTCAGTATAGAAGTCTTACTAATTCAGGCTAGAGATAACTGGTATGAAATATCAGTTGAGTGTATTCTAGTGACCTCTTTCAACCATCTAACATGAAAACAGTATTTTAAAATATTAGGTCATTAAGACTGATATATATATATATATATATATATATATATATATGTCGGCAATTATATTAGTTTGATAATTAACACAAATAATAGGTTCAACTTACCTAATATTTCTTTTCCATATTATTCTACAGCTGTGGTGGTCAAATATCTAACTCGTCGTTTCATTGTGGAATATGCACCTTACCTAAGTAAGTAGAATTTAATTTTTTTTCAACTGTCATTTAGTAGAACAGCGGGAGATTTTAGAAAACAGATAATTGCCTCACTTCATTTTTGTAGAAAATAACTACATTTCTAGCAGAAATGATGAATAACTGCTGGAAAAATCACGCTGAAGTAAAACACGCGTAGTACCCTTATGTCTAAGTGAATATACATGATGTCTGGGAGGAAAATCAACCCATGTTTTTACTTGCTATCCAGTTTATAACTGTGGGTCAAGCACTTGCATTTGTTGACATTAGCTAATGACCTTAGGTTGAACATCCTGCAGAAACTAAAAAGCACTGGATAGCTATATTGTTCTAGTTAACGAATTCTTGAGGTCTAGTCGACAAGTCATGCGTAGTGGAGTTCAGCCATATCGAGTGTGGAGCAGTCACACACCAATGGCATTGAAAGGTGGCTGATATTTTAATCGAAATCCATTGTCTGTTAGAACAGAAGTCAGCAGACTGTGTTCACTGAGAGACCTGAAGGTAGTAGGTGAGAAAATGGATAAGTAATAATGAGGTAGAGTGTTTGAAACGAAGACAGTTTTACAGGTTTTTGTGAATTTTAACGATTATCTAACTACGGTCAATTCGTATTGTAATCTATAAAAGAAATATTCTTGATATATCGTAGGGAAGTGAATATAAAGGAATATTAATAGTTCTTAACTCATAGCAAGGCTGAGCTGTTTATAATTTAGTGGTCCGTGATCTGATTCCAATTTGGACGAAAGTTCTAGATATGCTAAGAAATCAATCTCCCTTTCGATTTCTGCATATCAAACTTACAGATTCATTTGGGTCAATTTAGTTCATGCAATCGTTCACACAGACAGACATGAGAATACAAAGCATAAAAACTAGACGAAGCGAAGTGGAGAAGGCGAATGAATCACCCCAATACGATGAGGCATGGCTAAGTATTAATAGTCAGATAAAAGTGGCGTAGAAATGCAGTAAGCGAATTAACCATTGTATACACTCAAATAAAAACAACCGAGATATAAGCGAATATTCGGCAAGGTCATAAAACTTGCGAATAATAACTCAGGTAGAATGGATTAATTTAGATTTTCCAGAAGCTAGGACAAGCCCTGTGGACTTGACTTATTATCTGTTCATTGAAATCACAAATCGGTCAATTTTAGACCAGTTTCAGATTCATTAGCTGTGAGCATGCTCGACATTTGCACCTGGGAATCGAACCCAGGACCTTCGGACTCGCATACGAACACCTAACTTCTAGATCACTGAGCAGTCATCCAACAGTATCAATCTCTAACTTTAAGCAATCCGTGATATTGCTCAACCCCACACACTGTCTCCGATGGGCACTACTTCACACTCGTTAGAAATGAACTGCATTGGTCACAACCTCTCACTAGAACTCCCAGAATCCACTGACATAGCTGGTCACTAGTAGGCACATGCTAATTTATAATGGTGATCAAACATTGATTGATTCATTATTTCAGCGAAACTCAACAATCTACATGACCCTACAATGAAGACTATTCATTCGCTTATTTAAAAAGTGTATTTCAATCGGAGATACTTCCTGTTTTTCATTGTTCAAAGTAATGCATACCTTAGTAATCCATTTTCTATAGATCTTATCATCAACGTAAGATTAGAACGTTATTAGCATTCGGCATTATTGTAAACAAACATTTTCTAACTACAAAACTGATCGATGATAAAATAGTTTTCACTGAAATGACTAATCTTTTTCCCCTTTTTTTTAAAAATTGATTAACTGCTTGTTCAGGTGACAGTTACACTAAAGCTGATTCTGTGGATGGTCATGAATTAACAATCAATATTCAAGATACATCTGATAGTGTAAGTTAAATTTAGTTTTTGCATTGACTTGAAATATGTATATGAATAGTTTTTAATTCGGTAATGCTGAATGATTGTGTTGGGGAAGTTAGATCCCCAGAACTCGCTTGATAAATGCCTTATTTTGGATTTCACGTTTGCCAGCATGGACTGATCAGTTGACCTTGAGATTTCATTTCCCACCAGGAAAATCCTTGGCTGTGATTGGTTGCTTTGTTTTTTAGTGTGCTATTTGTGTAACTGTCCCAAGGACATTTCTATTATGTATAAACAAACGAGATTCGTGAGCTTGAATGCATTGTGTTTGCTGAGTGTTTGTAGAATATACTTTCTACACTATATCAAGACTTCTCTTTAGCCGTTACGAGTCAACGGATCAAGGTAGCCTACCTGGACTCTAGTTAATTGTCTAGTACTAGTTTATCGACTAAGGTGAACCCATAATAGTTTCAGGCATAGTTAGTGACAAACCTAACAGATTTTCATGATGTTGTCTTGTTTTGATTATAGACCATCAATCTTCACTAAGCTCAGGTGGTGATTGGTTTCAAGATGAATTCATGAGGGTAAAAATGTTTGAGTGACTGAGTTTAATCATGTTGAAACGTAGATAATTCCACAACAATCATATCGGAAAATGGTGCTTTGTATTCTAAATCTAACTAGTCGGAAATTAGCACAATCCATTATGAGGCCTAAAAATTGTTAGCATTCAATCTTAGATGGAAGAAGACTCATTCATATGCATTTCCCTAAAGTATTCAAAGTCAAGAAATTAGTAATATTACAATGTGCTTGCTATTGAATAATCTCAATTTTTTTTATGAGGAAATTTTCCCTTAATTCTTATAAGGGTCAATCAAAGTAATAATCAATATCATAAAGCTTCAGTAATGTTTGGAAAAAGAAAATCGTTATCCGAAAGCATGTCTGTGTGTCTCTTCATTTCACCTGGTATTTAGTCAGTAGTAGTAGCAGTAATTATAACAATAGTAATAGTAGTACATCATTATAATGTCTCCTGCTGATTTCATAATAAGAACCATACAAGACAAACAGTTTCTTAGTGCAAAACCTTATGTTTATAACACCATAATTGCCTGACTTGGCACATTGCGATGTTACATGGTGAAAATATGGACAATATATATATATATATATATATATATATATATATATACGTGGGTATGTTTTTTCAACCTATGATAAAACAAGCATTCTATGAAAGGTGCAGAAACATTGCCAATTGCCAATTTATACGTAAAACATGTGTGTTGTTATTGTTTATAAATGATTTTTCTACTACGTCATAAATGAATTCTAAATAAATATGTTTCGCTTTTTCACAGCTTACTGTATGTATATATATCTACAAATGTTGTATAATTTTTATGTGTGTAGTACAGCATACATTATGATAGTATATACACATATATATACATATAAATGTAACCTGAATTCAATGAAAATTATTTTACCACGCTATATATATGTATAAATATATCTATTGGCGATTCACGCAACAGACAAAATTCAATTAAATAATCATGAAAATTTGTGTAGGCTGATCATTTTACTAGAAATCCAGCGTACAAATTTTGTAGTGTCGTTATTAAACAAGACTCTAGTGTATAGTATTCAGACATAACTTGTTTACACGCATCAATTACGCCTTGCGTAGTATAGTCCAACAACCAGTAATCTGTAAACTTTTCCTATCCTCACATTTACTTACCGAATTCATTTCTTTGTGGTGTCTGCCTCTGATTTTTGGTCATCCTTTTTTCCTTTGGCCTTGGGGGCTTGCCTTGTGACGTAGTTGGGAGATTTTCATGGTCTGTGTGTCCCATCAACCCCCAAGATCGTTTTTCTCTATTTCAACTTCAAGTGGTATTTTATTTGTTCTCTCCGACATCACGTTGTTGCCGATGATGCCTGACCAACGAATAAAGAGTATATTGCATAGAAAATTGTATATCAATATCGGTATCTGTTAAATGATGGCTTTTGTAGTTCCCCAAGTTTTCGTTTCATACAATAGAACTGTCGAGACATTTGTATTGGAAACTGTAACGCGGTGTTAGTTGGCAGTTGATTTGAGTTCCAAATGTTCTTTGTTTGTAGAAATGCTGTCCTGTTCATCAATGATACTGCACAGATAAGTAAGTGTTCCTGCCTCTTTCAAAGCTTCTCTATCATGTGTATTGGAGGATTTTACTTTTTCTCTCGTGTATGTTGAGACTTACTGTTGCAGAAGCTGATGCTAAAGCTCTAAAATCATCTTATGACAATCTTCCAAAAGAACGGTTATCCACGCAACTTCATCAAAAAAAAAAAACATCAACCGAAATCGCCAACAGAAGCGTAATCAAGTATAGGAATCAATAAACGGATCATCCTACCATACATAAACGGCATATTGGAGCATACAGCACAACTACTGAAACCATTTGGAATAGGTGTGGCACACAAACCAACAGAATCACTTCAATCAATCCTATGTAGACCAAAGGACAAAATGACAAAGGAAGAAAAACCAAATATCATCTACAAAATAAATTGCTCAGACTGTGACAAAAACTACATAGGACAAAGTGAACAACCTCTTTAGCTTCCTTTACGTGAATATCAATTAGCAGTCTAACGCCACGACAATTCTTCGCTCATATCAATACACACCAACAATTACGGACATACATTCGATTAGAACAATGTGGAAATACTAGATAGGGGGAGCACAAATAAAACTAGAGAATTTTTTGAAGCTTCCCACTCAGGTCAATCAGCAATCAACAAACACATCCACATTGACCCAATTTATCAACTAATCAGAAAAATCATAGGTCACATAGGATCAAGAAACAGATCAAAGTGAGTATACAATCAAAACGAAGGTGCAAACGGAAGCAGACTTAAGGTCAACAACAACAACCAATCAAGATCAAGGCTAACAGAACAAACTACGGGTTAAACGTGGAGAAATTCAAATACTTCACTTCTGTTGTGAAGTTTGTGTTGATGATGTTATTGTTCAGAAGAACAACGAAAGCTCCACAACCGAAACATCCAGCTCAGAGAACGAAATACTAAACCAATCATCCAACTGAGCTGCTACTACACTGGGCGTCTAGTATTCAGATATACTTACCAAAATATTTTATCATCGATTTAATGGTTGTCTGTCATCATTATTCCATGATTATAAATCTAATTAAATAGTGGTTGCAAATTATGTCCAACAACTCCTCCCAATCAGGCTGACTGTAACAATAATCTGTAATTCATCGAAGCGAAACTTCGCCAACTGTTAGATAAAACAAGTAAGTTTAAAATTTTTTTTGAATTTTCTATTTGTTCATCATCATCATGATCAATAAATGATTATAATTCATTTCAAATAAGTAATTCATTCATAATTATTAATATTTATTCATTCACAGGATGAAATTGACCTTGACGACATTATTAAATGGTCACAAGCTATTATTATATTATTTTCTATGACTAGTCGTCGAAGTTTCTATCGTGCTCAAGAACTTGTTGAAGCAATTCATGCACAATCTGCATTAGTTGATAGAAAAATGAAATTATCTGGTACATCACAACAATCCAAATCAAATAATTCACAACAAATCAACACACCATCATCGTCATCATCGTCATTGTCATCCACGATGCCATTGAATGCTTCATCAATTTCCACAGTGAATTCTAATTCACTCAATTCACAACACAATTTAACACAATCTGGTTCATTAAGACGTTCAGCTTTATATACTATAAATACTGCGAAACCACCTAGTATAATACTTGTTGCAAACAAAGCAGATTTAGAACGATTTCGGTAAGTAAACATTATCATGGAATAAAAAAAGTTTAGAAAAAACAGTGATTAGTCAATGAAGAAGCATTAATCAATTTGGTCAATATGTTCAGTGATCAAGTTAGACATTAACACCGTTAGATACCGGCCCAGTGGTCCGATTGTTAGGCGTTGTTAGACCACCATTAGAAACCTGGAAGCACTGGACGGCCGTTTCGTCCTGGCATGGGGTTCATCAGCAGTGCGCATCCATGCAGTAACTACCAAAGACAAATGTGTGAGGTCGTGCAAAATCCCTAGATCAGTCAGAGTTAGACATTAACACCATTGGATGCCTGCCCAATGGTCCGATGGTAAGGCGTTCTCCTACAATACCGAAGGTCCTGGGTTCGAATCCTACGAGGTGCAGGAGTCGTGGATGCGCACTGCTGAGGAGTCCTATACCAGGACGAAACGGCTATCCAGTGCTTCCAGATTCTAATGGTGGTCTAACATTGATCGATTCATGGTTTCAAAAATGTGTAATATGTTCAGTAACATATATATATTGTTGTTTATTATTAATCAGTTAGCTTTAAGGATGAATTGGCTAACAATAGAACTCTTCGTTGGACGATTTTTGTTTACGAAAAGAAAAGTGCTATTTCAATTACAATAAACTAAGTTTGATTACGAATGTATGGCTGAGACAATATTTCAGTCGCTACACCTAACTAATATATATATATCAGTAGATGGAGAATAATTTATCATTGGACGCATATTTTGTGATTCTACTAGGTCACCGTCCATTATCTGGTTAACAATATTGATAATCGCATTATTATCTATAGAGAAATAGGGCTAAGGAAAGAAATTTATGAATGACACAGCATGCGCAAACCCAATCACACTTGATAAAGATACCTTGGAGGACGTTAAATCCTTTACATATCTGGGCAGCACCATCGACGAGTAAGGTGAATCTGGTACAGATCTGAAGGTGCAGATCAGAAAAGCAAGGACAGTATTTCTACAATCAAACAACATCTGGAACTCCAAACAAATATCAACCAACAAGAAAATCAGATTTTTCAGTAAAAAGTGTCAAGAAATTTCTACAGTATGGGGGGGGGGGAAACTTGGAAAACTACCAAAGCCATCATCCAAAAGATACAAGTATTCATTAACAGTTGTCTACACAAAATACTTCGGATTCGTTGGCCAGACATCAACAGCAACAACCTTGTATGGTGAGGAACAAACCAGATTCCGGTGGACGAAGAAATTAGGAATAAACGATTGAAGTGGATAGGACACACACTGAGGAAAGCAGCTAACTGCGCCACAAGACAAGCCCTCACTTGGAGCCCTCAAAGTCAAAGGAAAAGAGAAAGGTCAAGAAAGATATTGCATCGAGAAATGGAGACAGACATGAGAAAAATTAACAAAGGTTGGACAGAATCAGGAAGGGAAGCACAAGAAAGAGTAGTCTGTAGAATACTGGTCGACGGCTTATGTTGTATTGGGGATAACAGGCATAAATAATAGGTAGTTCTGATGAATCCTGACTATGAATGAGTGACGAGCGATCGCTTATTGTCTGAATCCTAAGTTGCTTAGAAGAATAAATGCCGAATTACAATTAAACTAGATGATGTGGAGTAGTTGTAAGAGAAGTTTAGTGGAAATATTAGGACTATTCGAGAAAGAGTATCAGGATAAATTCACTGGCTTATTACTGGTTTACATCCTTTCGTTAGTCTCGTCTCTGAATTAGTAGTATGTAGTAATTACAAAAATGCTCATTACTGTAAATCACTATCGGTATTATTAGAAGAGTGGCTATCTAGACTCAGTAGCTAAGTGGATAATGCGATTGAGTTTAAGGTGAACGATACCGGGTTCGAGTGTCGGAATGAAGAATGACTCTGACATTCAAGCATAGCCAGATGACTAATCAGAAGTAACAAAAACTTGCATCATGGGTTCCACTACCACCCACTATCCACATTTCTTAATAATAGTCGTAACCTCCACATCCTCCCAGAATGCACATGTGGCAAAGAGACTGATCAATCGCACTTCTAAACAACTATGGTAACGTTCAAACAACCAATGCAAAGAAATCAGTATGAGTATGTTTGTAGCGTAAATTCATCAACCAGTGGGTATATGATACCTAAGTTTTTACAGCTTTGAACTCTATTGCAGTTTTACACATTGAAATTAAAGACCTTCATGTCTTATTGTGTTCATCACAAATCTTTAAAGTCGATAAATTATAATCCAACCATATCACTTTGTCAGTCTTCGCCTGATTATATCAGTTTATAATACAGGCTATTTTCAATTATCCATTCAATATAAGTTTATGAGTATTTATACCAGTCTTTTATACCACTATGATGCGAGCTACTTATAAGTAGTATATGACGTGAGTGTCAATGTAATGTCTGGCAGCAGAAGATGGGGGAAGATCAAGAAAGGAAGAGTTAGAAAACAATGGAATTTGTATGAAACGCGTGAATAGGAGTGACAATGGATTGATGTTTTGCAACAGGAACAGTCCATTTCGATATGATGAACTGATATTTTGCAAATTAACGAACCATTTACGATATGGTGTTCCGATTTTACTGAGTAACTCTGTAATTTTCGTTAAATACAATTTGGCTGCCCCACCTGTGTTCTCGTCCAATACACCACTAGAAAATTTATTTTGATCGTCAGCTTTTGAGAAATATTATTGTCCTAATCTAACCAGCTAACTTTGATCACGTTCAAAATGTTTCCTCTGTTAATTTTTAAAATATTTTCAGCATAAACTTCAATAGCATTTCACAAAAACAAAAACAATAATCCTTTTTTTTCTATCCAAATCTTATATAGTTTAGTACAAAAAGCAGAAGCTGATGAATTTGCCAAATCGCATGGAATTCCATACTATGAAATAACTGTCACTGAAACTTATAAAGAAGTTCAAGCAATTTTTCATGCAGCAGCTCGTCTTTGTCTTCAATCGAAAGGTTTGAAACCACGTCAAGTTAATGGTCAAACTGCATCATGTGGTAGAGGTATTCTACCTGGTGGGAATCCTCCCAGTGTATTGACAAGTTTAGCAGTATCACCAGGTTTATTATTACAAAAGAAATCCACAGCGGTATCACCTGTTCTCGAAGTGATGGCAAGTACAGAATCTGAGTCGAATACAACAACATCATCATCAACAACAACAACAACGACAACAGCAGCAACAACAACAAGTGGGCCAGCTTCAATTCTTTCCAATCTTAAATTAAGAGCAACTAGTCCTACTTCAGGAACAAATGTAATACGAACTCCAGCCTCTAATAAATTTATTGGATCACAATCTACTGCCACCTCAAAATTACCGCCAACAGCATCCAACCAATCAACACTTCAATCTTCTTCATCTCAGCAGCAGCAGCAACAACAACAACAACCTAGTTCGAATCCAACAACAACACAATCAACACCAGCAACACATACACCAATCACATTATCTCGTAAACATCCAAGTGTAAGCAGTAGTCAACCATCAACGGAACAACGAGTAACAAATCCTGGTACATCACCAAGTATCAATCAATCAACTTTAACATTATCAATGCAAATGAATAAAAAACCACCGCCTACAACACTTCCTCAACCAAAGAAATCCGGTTTAGGCTTTAAATTTTTCTCGAAAAAGAAATAAAAATTTTATTTTAAATGATTATTTCATTTTGATTTTAATTTATTTTATTTTCAGATGTGTTTAAACTATAAGAATTATCTTGACATGATTACATGCATATATACATATAAATATGTTTGGTGAATATTTTTCTATCATTTAATTTGTGCACATTTATGAGTTCAGTGTTCATTTCTAGTGATTTTAAACAAGAAGAAGAAGGAAAAAGAAAAACAGCGCACACAGAAAAAAACATTTACTGATATCAATTTTTGTTTAATGAGAAAGAGTAATTAGAGTTTTCATTTGAACTGTAATAATGATCAATGATTATTGATTATAGGTGGACAGAACAATGTATTTGATGCCGCTTTTATGTGTTTGTGTTTTTCGTTATTAGTGTTAATTGTAAATTTAGACTATAAAATGACAAATTTATTTTAATAATGACATGAAAGTCCAGTTCATTTCAATTACGAATGGAAATTCAAATTTAAAATGTACAGATAAAATTCAATGTCTTCAATATACTAAAAATTTTAATTTTCATCATCTTTATCATCAGAAATACACAAATTTTATTCTATGTTAATATATCTGTGGGCTCCGTTATCTTGGTGGTCGGGTTCACCGATTCTGTGGTGGTCGGTATTCGATATATTCTTAAACTTCGTATACTGCAAGTCCTGAGACTGTTACTAGATAACACACACCAGTGTTTCAATCAGAAGATGAATACGAAGAGTTGATTACTTTTGCTATCGCATCACATACAAATCACAAAACCACAGGCACACGAAGAGAAAATGAAATGCCAGTGCCGAATAATAAGTGAGAGAGAAAGTAAGTGAGCGAATCAGTGAGTAGGATAAAAAATGTACGTACATATATACATAGGAAAATGAATAAGTCATCCAATGATTTAAGAGGTTAGTATTAAAGTGAGTAGAATGAATATCTGTGTGTAGGCGGTGAGAAATGCTTAGTTATACCAATTCAAACAAATGTGACAATAATCAGTGCACAATGGTATGGATAAGTTGTTGCTATACCGATGACTCAACTCCGCCTATAGAACCTTCGGGGTTACTGCCGCTCCCAAGCCCGGATAAAGGAGGAGGGTTGGGTATGGGGTTTGCGACCCAATCCCACCAAAAAACTAACTTGCCAAAAAAACGCTTACCAGAAAAATATACCAATGACTCAGTCTGTTAAATAGGTTAATCAAAAGGCTTCAACCTAAATTACAGTTATTTGACCAGATTAATTATCGAGAAAGGAGTGTTCAGGTTCAAGGCAAAATATATCGTTTGAGGATTATAGTAGGTGTGAACTAACAGTTGTTTTGTGATAAGAATATCGTTAGTGTTGGGATGAATAATATGGCATGTTCAATTGAATAAGTTTTCACGTAAAATTGTCAGATTATTAATCAAAATAAAAGTCGTTAACATGAGATGAGAGAGATAATCATAATGTAATTGCAAATCCGTAATCATGTATTATGCAGAATAATATGAATGAGGTGCGAATGAGTGACTAGTGGTATATATTTAAAAAACTTTCTCAATAAGTTGCAAGCGATATAAAAGTAATAACCATGATAATGATAATAACAATAAGATTTGTCAACAAGATAGGTGTAAGCTATGAAAGCGGCATTATTTCTTCGATTGGACAACGTCTGGATCTTAACACAACTGAAAACCAACACTAAAGTTACAATTTTTAATACAAATGTCAACACCGTTCCACTGTATGGAGCGAAAACTTGGAGAAGCATGAAAGCCATCATCCAGAGGATAAACGTGTTTATTAACAGTTGTTTACGCAAGATACTGATGATCTGTTGGTCATATACTATCAGCAACAACGATGGAGCGATGGAACTGCATTACAAGACAATCCTACTCTTTGGAATCCCCCAGGTCAATGGAGAAGAGAAAGTCCAAAGAGCACAACACAGCAAGAACTGGATACAGGCATGAGAAGTATGAACAGCAACTGGATAGATCTAGAAACAAAGTCCAAGTACAGAGTAGGTTGAAAAATGCTGGTCGGTGACCTATGTATGCTCCACTACGTGTAACAGACATAAGCAAATAAGTAAGCTATGAAAATGCAGAGACGAAGCTCATGTGAACAACAATCCGATTATTATCTTAAAAATGAGTTTCAACTATAATCACACCAAAAGTTGGCCAAACTAAAAGGAGTGGTTGAACGTATTCTTTCTGGATGGACAGCTTCAGCTTCTTGATCAAAATAACTATTGATGCAGTTGTCTGACGGATTACTAATCTGTTGGATTTAGGCAGACTGCAATTGACACGAAAATGATTGTTCCACATTGGCTGTATGGTGGGTGCATTTGTACTGAGCTCGAATCGAGCTGTGAACAGATTTATTCACACCTTAACAACACTATCAACTGCTCACACATTAAACCTGGCCATAATGTGAATTGGTAATTCAAACATGTAATTGTAGAACTTGTAGAGAATCTCCTGAAAAGAATATTCTTCATTCATATATCTGTGTTCTAAAATTATGAGAGTTTTTTTTAAGGAGAAAATAAGATCTCACGGTTGTCTGCGGCGTCTACGTAGTATGTACATACTGGTCTATCAATGACTAATCCAACTAGAGAGATAAAATCACTAGCCTGAAACCCAGTAGCCCATATTGTCATCTTCGATTGATTCGCAATATAATGAGACAATGATATTATTATCGTTCTCAATGACTGTCTCTTCTCACCCAGATAATAGAGTACAATTATTTTAGCAAACATTAAAGATAGTTAAGAGAAGAAAATTATATTTTTTTCAGCGGTATAACTTGAAGTAATCATATTTTCATAACTATGATGATCTTGCTTTAAAAAAAATGAAATGTAATAACTTCGATAGTACATGTAGGCTGTTACATATATATATATATATATATATATATATATATATATATATATATATATATATATATATATATATATATATATATATATATATATATATATATATATATATATATATATATATATATATATATATATATATATATATATATATATATATCCGTTTCTGGATGTTGTATGCTCTTTAAGTAAACTAATGAAACTACCAATCTAAAACATTAATGACATATTTAATAAACCAATATGCTTTTGCACACACACGCACACACTCAGAATTAAATTGGTTTACTATTTGTTTAAACCAACCATTTAAATTTTTGAAATTCCACTTTCAACTGTGTCAATACAATGTCTGTGATCAAGCGAGATACATTGAAATAATAAAACGTTTTTCTTTCTGACTTTATTTGTTTTTATTTTATTCTCTTACTCTCATTTAATATTACAGTGACACTAAACTGATACGAAACTTTGATATGATTTCATTTTCTACAAAATTCTAACATACTTTTGGAGTATTTAATTTTGAATAGAAAAGAGAAAAATTTTAATTTTTGCGCTACATATTCAATACATGTAGTAAATAACAAAACAATAATTTTTCAATACATAATCAAAATATTCAGTTATTGAGATGTTTCAAATTTTTATGAGAAAATAAATAAAAAGAGATAAGCATTTCAGAAATATTATTCACTTGAGGAAAAATGATTGAACAACGTATTCATAATAATGAAACTTTTAGGGTAAGTGTAATTATTTTATTTTCCTTAAACAGAAAATGTGGAAACGATAATTTTATGTATTGAAATCATGAATGAATCATTTTTAGATCACCTGGGAGCACTGAACAGTCGTTTTGTCTCGGTTAGGGACCCATCGGCAATACGCATCCACGACTCCTACTACTCACAGAATCCGAACTTAGGCCTGATCTCTATACCATTCACTCGGCATCTGACAGTGTTATTTTGTCTATATGTAATCAATCTAAGGATTTTGCGCAACCTCACCCATTGTATGCACGAGTAAGTACCTAAACTCCACATGGCTGAACTCCACTGCTCACGGCTTTTCAATAGAACTCCGAGAATTTCCTCAAGAAGCTAGCACATTATATATATATATATATATATATATATATATATATATTACGTAATCAACTTTTGGGGAAATGTTATCAACAGACCTTAATCATATGTATAATAGATTGTCAAATTTGATTATTTGACATGAAACGCTAATGCCAAAACCAGGGACCGAACTCGGGATCGGATGATTAAAGCTGAATACTGTCCTGGTGAGATGAAATAAATTTCCAGTGATTCTTAGCTTTTAGCGATCGTCTGATTAAGGTCAGATTATAATGCCAATGGAAGACCAACGATTTGTGTAATCGAATTTTAAGAAAATATTTACAGTTAAAGTTGTCTATTATCAACATATCATCTACATCACGTGTTTATAACAGATGTTTTTTTTTTTTAAGTTGATTCAGTTAGTTGAATGTTAATTCGCAGATAAACCTTGATATATTATTTTATGTAACAAGAATGCCGCAAATTATACAGTATGCATTTATCTAAACATTTTATAAACACTAAATACTATAGACAATTACATTAATTTCTATCATATCAAATGTTATACACCATTGTGGTTTCATTTATGTCTACCAATCAATAAGTTATTCAGTGTAAGAACTGAAGAAAAATTATAATCACTTCACTTTCACTGAAAAAAGTTCAAATGAAAGGAGAAAAAATAGGGAGAGAGAGAGAGAGACAGATTATCATGTTGTTTACCACATGATATATCATACATTAATTGTTCTTAAATGAAATAGACAAATTATTGGAATTGGTAGTCGATACAAACTAATCGTTTAGTGGTAGTGATAATCATTATGGTGACAATTACTTAATTACTTACTTACGCTTGTTATCCCCAATGAATCATAGGCTGCAGACCACTATTCACCAACTTACTTTGTCCTGTAACTTCTTTTACAGTTCTATCCAAATGTTGTTCATCCTAATCAAGTCTGTCTCCATTACTTGTCGTAATATTTTTCGGTCTCCCTCTCCTTCTTTGGCATTGTGGATCCAAAGTGATGGTTTGTCTTATGGCTAAGTTGAGTGCTTGCCTCAAAGTGTGTCTTATACACCTCCAACGCCTTTTTCTAATTTCTTCTTCTGGTTGGATGGGGTTTATTCTCTCCCATGATAAGCTGTTACCGATGGTGTCTGGTCGACAGATCCTCAGTACCTTGCATAGACAACTGTTAATTAACACCTGTATCTTGTGGATGATGGTTCTAGTGGTTGCCCACGTTTTCGCCGCATACAGTAGAGCTGTGTTGACATTTGTATGGAAAATTATGTTGTTTAGAGTTACAGACTTTTTCCAATTAAAGAAATGCCGCCCTTACTTTGCCAATCTGTGCCTTCACATATGCATCAGATGCGCCTTGCTCATCAATGATGCCGCCACAATGAAAAACGGGAAGTACTGAATAAACATTCTGTTATAATATTATTTTTAACTTTCAATAGTGATCTAGCTAAGTTCTATTCGTACTCTAAAATATGAAAATTCTTCAGTCTTCAAGAAACCCTAAACAGGCATTACTTTTTTCTTTAGATAAA